GAAATTTCCCCCAAAGAAGTTGACCAACACGTATATGAAAAGGTGCTCAACATCATTAATCATCAGGGAAACACAAATCAAAACTACTATGAAGTGATCAGTGTTATGACACCGTGGGTTAAACTGACACTTGATACACTGGTATCCTATAATGGAGCTCTGGTTCAAGTCCCAGTTACTGACTTCCACTCTGGCTTCCTGGTAACACACCTGGGAAAGCAGCAGAAGATGTTTTGGGCCCCTGCTTGTCATGTGGGAGACTAAGATGAAATTCTTAGGTGCTTTCTTCAGCCTGGCCCAGACCTGGTTATTGCAGGCATTTTGAGAGTGAACCAGTCGATGGAAGATCTCTTTCCTCCCTCTCTCTCTGACTTTACCCCTCTCTTTGTCTCTCTGCCTTTCAAATAAATAATAAATACTTTTTTTTAGAAAACATTGTGAGATACTTCCTCACCGTCATTAGGATAGCTATTACAAAAAAAATCAAATGATATCAAATGTTGGGGAGAGTGTGGGTACTCTTGTATATTTTTGGGAATGTAGATTGCCATTATGGAAAAACAAAATGGAGATTTCAAAGAAATTACAAATGGAACTGCATATAATCCCACCATCTCCCTTCTGAGCACATACCCAAAGGAAATGAAATCATCAGTTTGCAAAGATATCTGAATTCCCATGTTCATCGTATCAATGTTTACAACACCAAAGATACGGAATAATGTAAGGGTCCATTGAAGAAAAAGTGGATAAAGAAAAAATGATACCTGGATACAAGGGAATATTATTCAGCCAGAAAATGAGTGAGATTTTTCCATTTACCATACTAGGGGTGATCCTGAAGGAAATTATGCTAGATGAAATGAGCCATCCACAGAAATAAAAATATTGAGGTGCTGTCATTGTGGAGCAGCAGGTTAAGTCACTGCCTATGGCATGAGCAAACCATGTGAGTGCTTGTTTGAGTCCTGGCTGCTCTACTTCCAGTCTAGATCTCTGATATTTCATATGGGAAAGCAGCAGAAGATGGTCCAAGTACTTGAGTCCCTGTCACACATGTTAGTAGACCCAGATGGAGTTCCTGTCTCCTAGCTCTGGCTTCATGCAGCCCTGGCAGTTGTGGCCATTTAGGGAGTGAACCAGAGGATAGAAGATCACTCTCTATCTTTCTCTCTCTGTATCTCTGTATCTCTGTATCTCTCTCTCTCTCAATTATTGCCTTTCTCTCTGTAACTCTACCTTTCAAATAAATGTCTTTAAAAAAAGTAATAAAAATATTGCAAAATTTTACTTATATGTGGAATCTTAAAAAATTCAGATATGCAGAGGTAGTGGACAAAACAGTGGTTACTGGAGCAGTGTAGAAGGGAAGAAATGTAGGTCAGAAGACAAGGTGGCGTATATGTAGGATGGAGTATCTCGAGCTATAATGGACAAGGTGAGGACTATAGGCAATAAAAGCGTTTTGTCTGAAGGGCTTCCTGAAAGTTCATGGAAATGTGTATTATAAAAATACTATGCATGGATTTCAAAATTTTTCCACCAATTTTCTCCCCCTCCTTTTTAGAAGCTTTCTTTATTTACTTGAAAGGCAGAGTTACAAAGAGAGAGACAGATAGAAGGGTCTTCCATCAGATGGTTCACTCCCCAAATGGCTGCAGTGGCTGAAACTGGACCAGGCCAGAACCAGGAGCCTGGACCTTCCTCTGGTCTCCCACATGGCTGCAGGGGATCAAGCATGTGAGCTGTAATTCACTGCTTTCCCTGGAACACTAGCTGGGAGCTGGATTGGAAGTAGAACAGCTGGGACTTGAACTAGTGCACATATGGGATGCTGACATTCCAGGTGACAGTGTAACCTGCTACACTACTACACCAGTCCCCCTAAAAATTTTTTAAAAATTCCATTTCCATGAACTTTTTGAAGCACTCTTGTTAATGTGATTCATGCTAAATGAGTAGATGTTGGTGATTCATGCTAAATGAGTAGATGTTGGCTGCTCTTGGCCACATAAACAAGAGAAATGGATTACTATGAGATGATGAAGGTTAGTTTGCATTACAGTAACCTTTTTGCCATCTGTATGTATCCTGTAACTTTATATTGTACACTAAAATTTAATTGAAAAAAATGAACAAGAGTTAAGAATAAAAACAGGCTTTCAGTAGCATAGAGACTTCTTAATTAAATAAGACAACTGTTTTGCACCAAAGATCTCTTTAAGTTTTGACTTTCTACTCAAGATACTGACTATTAATTTGGAAAAGAGAGGAAAGGAAATTCAATAGACCTGATAAAGGTAGGCATTTGGGTCACCAGCATCGCCTATCAGAATGTCTGGTTCAAGATCTGGCTCCTCTTCCAATTCAGCTTATTGCTAATGTGCACCCCAGAAGACAACTGTGATGGTCCAAGTATTCGGGTCCTTGGCAGCCATGTGGAGAACCAGATTGAGTTCTGTTTCCCTGGCTTTTGCCTGGCCTGACTCTGCTGTTGTATCCATTTGGAGAGTCAATCAGGGATGGGAGATGGCTCTCCAGCTCTCTCTCCCTCTCTCTTCTCTCTCCCTCGGCCTTTCAAATAAAGTGAAAAAAAAATATAATTGATAGCCACAGTTAAGGAACAAATTGGGTCTAGTTATTAGCATATGTAGCTTTGTAGAAAGTGTATAAGACACCTAAGTTTGTGAAGAGATTATTTTGCCAAATAGCCCCACAAATCTGACTCTTCTTTTTTAAATTTATTTGACAGATAGGGTTATAGACAGTGAGAGAGAGAGAGAGAGAGAGAGAGAGACAGACAGAGAAAGGTGTTCCTTCTGTTGGTTCACTCCCCAAATGGCCGCTACAGCTGGCGCTGCACTGATCCAAAACTAGGAGCCAGGTGCTTCCTCCTGGTCTCCTTGCAGGTGCAGGGTCCAAACACTTGGGCCATCCTCCACTGCCTTCCCGGGCCACAGCAGAGAGCTGGACTGGAAGAGGAGCAACCGGGACTAGAACCCACTGCCCATATGGGATGCCGGCGCCACAGGTGGATTAACCAAGTGAGCCATGGCACTGGCCCCACAAAACTGACTCTTAAGTGAGCCTTAAAACAACCTGTAGTCTTGGACTGCAAAATCTCTTGGCTTTACAGAATGCAAACTCCTCAACAGCCACTTTGGATATCATCAAGGAGGATAAATGGGGAAGACAAAGGCTCCATCCAGAAGACAAAACCAAGGGCCAGGGAAGACAAAAAAGAACTCTGCACTGTTAATGAAATCAGGACCTTATCAAGGAATCCACATTAGGGCCTCACTTTACCCAGTCTCAAAATTCCTTGTATTTGGGAAAAACTTTACACTACAGATGTTATTCAGTAAACATACACAATAGAGTATGTGGTTGAAGATATTGCAGTGAGCTAAATAAGAGCCCATCAAAAATATTAGTGTCTGGGCCAGCGCTGTGGCACATTGGGTTAAAGCCCCAGCCTGCAGTGCTGGCATCCCATATGGGTACTGGTTCAGGTCCCAGCTTTTCCACTTCTGATCCAGCTCTCTGCTATGGCCTGGGAAAGCAGTGGAGGAAGGCCCAAGTCCTTGGTCTCCCGCACCAATGTGGGAGACCATGAAAAGGTTTCTGGCTCCTGGCTTCAGATCAGCAAAGCTCTGGCCATTGCAGCCATCTGGGGAGTGAACCAGTAAATGGGAAGAATTTTCTCTCTCTCTCTGGCTCTACCTCTCTATGTGACTCTTGCAAATAAATAAAAAAATATTTTTAAAACATGTTAGCTTCTCTTCCCTGAACCCTGTATATGTGCTTTATTTGGAATGGATTTTTGCAGATGTAAGGAAGTTAAGATCCCATAGACAGGTAGATTGTCTTGTATTATTGAGGTCTTCCCCAAATGCCATCATATGTGTATCTTTGTGAGGAGGAGGTAGGAAATAATCTGACACAGCAGAGAAAGAGGCGTGTGATTACAGAGACAGACATTAGAGTGATGTGGCTCCTAGCCAAGGACCACAGGCAGCCACCAAACTCTGCAAGAGGCAAGAAACAGATTCTCTCCTAGGACTTCCCGAGGAAGCATGGCTTGGCTGACGTCTTGGTGAACTGTGAGAGAATACATTTCGATTGTTTTAAGCTACCAAGTTTATGGCAATTTGCCACAGAAGCCACAGGAAACATGTACACATGCATGAAGAAGTCACACCATAGCTCCTGTTCCAGGTGCTGTGATGATGCAGTCATCAGTGTGTGATGAGCCCCTGGCACATTTTCAAGGTGGTAAATGTGTGCCCTAATGATGACGTCTGAAAACAAAACAAAGGCAAAAATTTTGGATGAGACCCAACAGGGCGTTTTGTTTTCACTGTTGACCAAAGACATACAGTACTTGTGTAGAGTCACCCTCACCTAAGAGTGATTATTAAAAGCTGGAAATATCTTTATAGCTTTTTCTCATTCTAAACGTGTTGATTTTATAACTAAAAACCAAAAAAGCAGAAAATTGCCATTTCTTCAAAGCAGTGGTAATAAAGTTTTCCTTTCCATTTTAAAATGTGTAAATATCTATACCTATTGATCTATCTATACATATACCATAAAAAATAAAAATCTAAAATGTTAGTCTTTGGCTACTTTCTTTTCTTCAGAAGACTGCTTTATAAATGACTTTATGTAGCAGTATGCAAATCTATAGTTTTACTTTCTTCCTAATGAGCCTATAACCTCCCTTTTGTGGATATGGTATGATTTATTTAAGTAAGTTGCCTCCCATAGGTGCTTCAGCTGTTTTCCGTATTTTTGGTGGAAATAAAAATAATTGCACATAGATTTAATGGTCTTTGTTTTATCATATGCAAAAGTATTTCTGTTTAAAGAATGCTGGATTATTTTGAAAAATTGGTGAATATTAGAAGCAAATTTTAAAATGAATTGTCTTTACAAGATTTACTTTAAAAGTATTTAAAAGTTCTGATGAATAACTATAGCAATGGTTGATTTTTTAGACATCTGAGTACCCAGTGGTGCTCTCTTTAGAAAACCACTGCTCCCCTCACCAGCAAGAAGTGATGGCAGACATTCTGCAGAACATTCTGGGAGATTCCCTGCTCTGTGACATGCTTGATGATTTTCAAGACACACTACCTTCACCAGAGGTAACAATGGGACAAGTTCAGGTGAAGAGAAAAACAGAAACAAAATACTCATCCATGAAGCTGGGTTAAAGTCCAGTGGAAATGCTTGATTTTAACTTTTTTTTTTAAATTTACCTTTCTTTTTAAAAAAGATTTATTTATTTATTTAAAAGAGAGAGAGAGAGAGAGAGAGGGAGAGAGAGATATCTTCCATCAGCTGGTTTACCCCCTTAATAGCCACAGTAGTCAAGACTGGGCCAGGCTGAAGCCAGGAGCCAGGAGCTTTTTCTGTGTCTCTCACATGGGTACAGGGGCAAGCACTTAGACCATCTTCTGCTGCTTTCCCAGGAGCATTAGCAGGGAGCTGGATGGGAAGTGGAGCAGCTGGGACTTGAACTGTTGCCTATATGGGATTTTGGTGCTGTAGGCCTCGGCTTTATCCTGCTGAGCCACAGCGCTGGCCCCTGGTTTTAACTGTTTGCAGATGCCTTTGCTGTGTGTCATCCAGGAAATGCTTCCAGGAGTATCTAGGTGACTGTATGTTTATGGAGAGAATACAGAGATAGATGGAAAGCCATATTTGATTGTGTGCTGTACTTCAGAGCCCATGGTTTTAATGCAATTAATATTAGGCCCAAGGATTTGATACATTTTACGGGCAAAAGGCTAAGAATTAGGTAAAAGCCCAGGTTATGGGATCTCTGTCAAAAATTTCAGAAGCTTTCCTTTGTAAACTTAGCCTTTTAAACCTCTGACTCTTTTAACTTTCTTTTTAAACTCTTAATAGCAGCGTTTTACAGTATTTGAATATTCCTTTGTCTTTTACTACTTTATTTACATGGATACAACATTTTAAATGAAGGTGTTATGAAATTACTGACAAGAAATATGGGGCTTATAATAAGACAATGATGTGATAAATAAAAACTGATTCTTTCACCTTGTAAGAATGCTTATAAATTAATTGTGTTTGATTTTCGTAGAAAAAAACTTTAAAGAACATGAGAAAACATAAAAGAATATTAAATTGCTGGAAATGTATCATAAGATTAACCAAAGAATCATGATCTAATTCTGGAAATTATAATGAGGCAATGATGTTTAGCTTTCTAGGAAGATAATTCCTTCTCCTAATATGCAAAAATCTATGCTTTGTTTTTGTTTTTGTATTTTTAATATATTCACACATTAATTTTTCATTAAATTTTAACCTCCATAGTAAGATAAAGACATGCTTTCTAGTGAATGCATGACAATTAGAAATAAAGTGGCCGGTGCCGCAGCTCACTAGGCTAATCCTCCGCCTTGCAGCGCCGGCACACCGGGTTCCAGTCCCGGTCAGGGTGCCAGATTCTGTCCCGGTTGCCCCTCTTCCAGGCCAGTTCTCTGCTGTGGCCCGGGAGTGCAGTGGAGGACTGCCCAAGGCCGTGGGCCCTGCACCCCATGGGAGAGCAGGATAAGCACCTGGCTCCTGCCATCGGATCAGCGCGGTGCGCCGGCCGCAGTGTGCCGGCCGCGGCGGCCATTGGAGGGTGAACCAACGGCAAAGGAAGACCTTTCTCTCTGTCTCTCTCTCTCTCACTGTCCACTCTGCCTGTCAAAAATAAATAAATAAATAAATAAAGTCACTTTCTCATACTCAATTCAGTGTTCAGTGTGTGAAATAACAGCCTACAGATTGCTAAGGAGGCCTGTTTGAAACCTCACCAAGTCAAGACTCTCATTTCTCTAATTTTGAAGTAGGTCCTAGGAATTTGTACCTTTAGCCAGAGAGCCTGATAACACCTTTGTTGCCATGTAGCTACAGAGTGCACTTTGTTAGGCTTCTTAAGAGGAAGATTTAAAGGTGATAGTAGAAGAGAGGAGGTCCAAGGTGATAGGGTTATTTGAGTCGGCATCTGAGACGACAAAAGGGAAGGACAAGTCAAAACTCCTTTGAGAAAAGAGCGTTACTTCATCACCCAGATTTCAGCATTTTTTGTGCACATCATAGCAGGAATGTAGTTTTGTGAAATTTATGAATTTTTAAAAATGGCAGCAGTATCTAAGTTAACGATGAAAACAGAGGGCTTTGGATTTAGAATGAATGACACTGATGGTACCATAATTCCAGTTTTGATAGACAGAAGTATCAGGTTAATGCTCCTTGGTGTGATCCAGTTGAACTTTGAGCAGGATTTACAAACCTTTGGCTTCATTTATAGTGGATGCCAGGCATTATGATAGATGTGTTTACATACCTGATCTCATTTAATACTTTTTATAGTTGAATAAGAATGTGCTGACTACTAGCATTTACTATCAGAAGTTCTAACATTCTGACTTTATAACATAACATGTATTTAACATGTATGTGTACAGGAACAATTTTCCCATATTTAAAATGCTCTAAACAGTAGCAACTTGTGGAATGTAATAAAAGAGATTACATATAGCCAGTCCTGATCATAGCAAGCTTATGTTTTTGGAGAATCACTGGTTTCTATTAGAATATGAATAGGGTATACAGAGATGGAGGTCTTACATATCTTACTGCAATACATGGCTCATTGTAAATGTAATGAAAGACTTTTCAGTGGCTGTTATAGTGCATACGAACCTGCAAATGAGTAACTATAATTCTTTCTTGAATTGCTTCTGTAGGCACTAAAATTCAAAATCTTAGTTAAAAACAAGAAAATAGGAACATTAAAGGAAACCCGTGAAAGGAAAGGTACTGATAAACATGGGAAGGTGGGGGAGTTGGAAGAAGATGACCTGGACCAAGAGGAGGAGGAGGAATCCAAGGATTCAGAGACACAGGATGACTCTGTGTCAAAAAGCTCCCAGGAAAAGGAGTCAGATTCAAAAAGGTCACTGGCAATAATATTTCTCAAGAAAAAGAAGGTGAGGTGATGCTCTGAAATCTTAGAAGTAAAAAGTTTTCTAATCTTCCCAGTACATGGAAAATGGTAAATAATATGGAGACATAGTATTTTATCATTTAAAATGCACTTTGATTAAATGGACAGCAGAAAAGGAAATCTGAAAGTTGTTCTTTTTCCTATGGTAGCTGCTTTAAAATTTTCTCCTCTGTAGTTGACAAATATTGTATTCTCCCCTGTACATTGTTCAGAGTACAAGAAATACAGAGATAAACAACAGTTTCTTTGCCCTCAAGTGGAGACAGAGATGAGAAAATCAATGCTTACAATTTATGGTAGTATAAGTATACACATTAGCATGCCAAAGAAGATAGATTGTATGTGACACAAACCAACTGAATAGTTTTTTTTAAAAATGGGAATTAATAAATGGGTCCACATAGACGAAAAGTTCAGGGAAAAGGAATTTAACTTCAGGAATGAGTTGGGGTTAGTGTATCAAACGTCAGCAGAACTTGCCTTCTTTATCTACGTTTGGCCCCAAACTCTTTGTATTTCTACAATGCCATTGTGAAAATTCAGTTTATAGCCTTCCGGGTTCAAATTCAGTAGAATGTCTACCTCTCAGCAGAGCAAGCAAAACTGATGAATACATTAATTATGAACTGGTTGTGTGCATATCTCTGAACAAATTTACTGATGCTAGGGGAATGCAAATCTTTTATTAGCTAGGCCCCGACTACATGACCCCTACTTCAACGTGTGGGTTGAGCCCAACCAAAGGATGCTTTCCCTAAGCAGAACTTGGGAAATGTCTAAAGGAAGTGTATAGGAAACATGTGCCAGGATATAAAAGAGCAAATGTCTGCTATATTTTTGACATTATTCCAAAATTTTAGCTCAAATTGGAGGTTTACGTACTCATGATTAAAATTCCTAAATGTGTCAAATTCGTAAGAATCCACTGAGATGTTCGATAAAGAAAATAGTAATAATTGTCATCCTCAATATATACTTATTACATTAATTGGGATTTTGAATTTAAGCTAGAATATATTAAATATTATAATTATAAAAATAACCACATAAACTTAAATCCAAAAGCTTTGGAGGAGAAAATATTATTAAAAGACTAAAATTATCCATTTGGAAGCATATTTTCTTTATTAAAGAGGCATTTTTTAAATGATTAGTGTAAAAATGTGAAATTACTGCATTTTATTTTTAGACCAGGAAGGTAAAAATATCTCTGGCCTTATCTGATCTTGTCATTTATACTAAAGCTGAGAAGTTCAGAAACTTTCACCATGCAAGACTGCATCAGCAATTTAACGAAAACAATTCTATTGGAGAATCTCGTGCCCGAAAACTTTCTAAACTGAAAGGTAAATACTTATGAGTCAGAGAAAGTATTTGAGTAAGTTACCATTTCTACCAAGATGTTAAGATTCGTCAAGAATATTTTTAACATGATAATATATTTTATTCTTATCATTTTCAACACATAATAACTGTGCATATTTTCAAAGGTGTTGTGTGCAGCCAGTTAAGCTGCCCTTTGTATACCTGTGTCCTGTATTGCAGTGCCTGCTTCATGGCCCACCCACTCTGCCTCCCCATCTGGCTTCCCAATAATACACCTGGGACGAAGCAGATGATGGTTCCAGTACTTAGGATTCTCCCCCCATGTGGAGGCCTCAGTAGAGTTTGTGGCTCCTGGCTTTGTTCTGACCTTACTCTGGCTGTTGCAGACATTTAGGGAATGATATTTAGGTGAGGAAAGTTTAGAGGTAAGCTTGTATATATTTGGAAATATTGAGAGAAGATAAAATAGTTTAGAATATATAACATTTGAAACTGCATCATGAGGAAAGAAATATCACAGGCATTGGGTGATAGCAAAGAGAAGAGCAAAGAAAAGTAGATTTTTAAAAAATTACTAAACCAGCCAGTGCTGCGGCTCACTAGGCTAATCCTCTGCTTGCAGCGCCAGCACCCCCAGTTCTAGTCCCCGTTGGGGCACTGGATTCTGTCCCGGTTGCTCCTCTTCCAGTCCAGCTCTCTGCTGTGGCCCGGGAGGGCAGTGGAGGATGACCCAAGTGTTTGGGCCCTGCACCTGACTCCTGGCTCTGCAGTGTGCCGGCTGTAGCAGCCATTTGGGGGGTTAACCAATGGAAGGAAGACCTTTCTCTCTCTCTCTCTCTCTCTCACTGTCTAACTGCCTGTCAGGAAAAAAAAAAAAAAATTACTAAACCATAATTATTTTGGGCTTAGTATATATCTGGTTGTGTTCTAAATACTAAAATTAAGTAACATAATACTCAAAAAAGACCTGTTACTGTTTTTATTATCATTTTACAGATGAGGAATCAGAGGCACTATTATAAAACATATTTTCTTGAAATCTCTCACGTATTTAATGAATTTTAAAACAGGTTTTTTGTGTGTGCTTATTTAAGGTTACATTGTTTACTTCACAGAACTTAGCCATTAGTTAACTTCTTTCACTCAGGGCGTTTTGATAGAGAATATCCAGTATGGATGCCTTTGTGGGTGGGGCTATGGTGAGTATTCTTGTAAGAGGGCAGTGAATGACAGGGAGTGCTGCTGAGAGATGCAGAGCACAGTTACAGGGCACTTGGAGTTTGTCCTGCAAGTCAAGGTCAGCACGCTCAGGAGCAGCATGAGCTGGTGTGTGCTTCTGTCTCTGCCAGCAGTCAAAGCAGAAGACTGCGGGCTGGGAGGAGGTAATAAAGGCTTGTGGAAACGAGATTGGAGGGGGAGGGATGGGAGGGAGGATGGGTAGGAGGGAGAGGGAGAGGGAGAGAAAGGGAAGAGAAAGAGAGATCTCATCTATTGGTTCACTTTCCAAATGCCCACAGTAACTAGGACTGGGCCAGGACCAAGCCAGGAGCCTAAAACTCAAGTTGGATCTCCCACGGAGTGTCAGGTACCCAACTACCGGAGTGATCACTGCTTTCTCTCAGGACACCCATTAGCAGGAAGCTGGATCCGAAGTGTAGCCAGGTTCAAGCGCAGGCAGTGCGTATAGGATGCGGGCATCCCAAGTGGCCACTTAGCTGCTGCACTTAGTGGCCACTTAGCTGCACTCACCATGCATCTTCTAATTGTCCTCAGATTCTAAACCTGAGGTGGTTATTCTGTAGGTAGTGCCCGAGATTAAACACACGCTGAGAGAGAGAAGGGGAAACAGACTCCATTTCCTTCTTAGCCTTAAATGGTTGAGTGTGTCCCAAACTTAGAAAGGGATGGACAAGTAACTTAACAGCCTGGTGGTTCTTCAAACCATCAAAAATTGCAGTCTATTCTTTTTTGTGTGTAGAAATATCAAACAGGAAAATCAGCACTGACCAACTACATTTACTGATTAACTGCATTTGACTGCAATCTTCAAAGCAAAGTTTGTTTTAGAGATATTTTAAGAGACTTAAAAAATATATACTTTGAATTCCCTGTGATCTTTTGCTGTGAGGTTTCCTTCCTTTATCTTCTTTCATATTGATGACCGTGTTTCTGTGTTTCTGTGTGTAACACATCTTTAAGCATCTTTTGCAGGGCTGGACGAGTGGCGACAAATTCTTTCAATTTCTGTTTGCTATGAAAAGTCTTTATTTCACCTTCATTCACAAATGAGAGCTTGGCAGGATATAATATTCTGGGCTGGCAGTTGTTCTCTCTTAGTACCTGGGCTATATCTCACCATTCCCTGCTAGCTTGTAGGGTTTCTGATGAGAAGTCAGCTGTGAGTCTCATTGGAGATCCTCTGAGACTAATCTGATGTTTCTCTCTTGCATACTTTAGGATCTTTTCTTTATGTTTCACTGTGGAGAGTTTAATTACAACGTGTCATGGTGAGGATCTCTTTTGGTCATGTTTATTAGGGGTTCTGTTAGCTTCCTGTACTAGGATGTCTCTGTCCTTCTCCAAACCTGGGAAATTTTCTGCTAATATCTCACTAAAAAGGCCTTCTAATCCTTTCTCCCTCTCCATGCCTTCAGGAACTCCTAGAACCCGAATGTTGGTTTTTTTAATAGTATCCTGCAGATTCCTGACAATATGTTTTAGATTTCTAATTTCCTCTTCTTTTCTTTGGTCTGACTGTATCCTTTCCTGTTCTCTGTCTTCTAAGTCTGATATTCTCTCTTCTGCTTCACCCATTCTGTTCATAAGGCTCTCTATTGTGTTTTTCATTTCATCTATTGAATTCTTCACTTCATTATGATTTCTCGTCACTATCACAGTTTCCTGTTGTACTAGTTGTTACGTTTCATTTTGATTCCTCCTTAATATTTCATTTTCACCAGAGAGATTTTCTATCTTGTCCATTAAGGATTTCTGTAGTTCAATAATTTGTTTTTGAGAACTTCTTAATGTTCTTATCAATTTTTTGAGATCTGCTTCTTGCATTTCTTCTATCTCATCATCTTCATAATCTTGAATTTGGGTGTCTTTTTCATTTGGGGGCGTCATGGTGACTTCCTTGTTTTTATTGCCTCAGTTTTTGCGTTTGTTATTTGGCATATTGGAGATATTTGGTTTCTTCACTGTGGTGCTTTTTTCTTGTTATACTATGACTCTAGATTAAGTGGACTGTCTGTTTTTGATGGAGCCTTAGAGGCTTGAGATGGGTGTGGCCTGAGAGCTCTGTTTGGTGTGCCAAAGGTGACACTCCCAGGTTAGGCGTGGTAGATCTCTCTCTCTCCCTTTCTTTCTTTTTTTGATTCAAAAGGGAAGTAATTCTGCACAGCTGAACGAAGTTGGAGGTAGTTAGCAGGCAAATAATATACCCACAGGAGCCAGAGATCAGAAGCTCTTTCCCAAGGACCACACAGGGAATCTGTTCGGCCCTCAGGGTGGGCTCAAATTCTCCTTCAGTCTCCCACTGGGTTGCCAAAGTTACGGAATTGTAGCGTCTCTGGAGAGTACTCACGTGAATTCTGTGAGTTCTCTCCCCCACCGTCTCTTTTTTTACAGTCTCAGTTCAGTAGCACCACAAATTTACTAGGTCCTAATCTCCTGTTAATTCGCCCCGCCCAGAGTCAGGTTTTTCTGCTAGGCTCAGGGCCGGTGCAGACCTGAGGTCGCTCTGCTTATGACGTATGTCCAAGATGGCGCCTGCTCTTTGTCTTGCTCGCCCTTGAGAGGTGAGTGGAGAGAGAGAAACCCATGTCAGTACCAGTCACCTTTTTTTTTTCTGTCTCTCTCTTCCAGTTTGCCTGGTGAACTTTTCTCCCCTGGGGGTTGTTCCCTCTAGTCTCCTCTCTCCGCTTGCCTGCTGGTGTCTCGGGCTATTGAGGTTCGGCTCACCTCGCGTTCCAGCGCTGGTGTGTTGAGTCTGCCGCTGGTGTCCCGAACTGTGGGCTCCCACGCTCTCCACGCAGGTCCACTCTGAATCACGCGTTCCAGAAGAGTTTCTTCTGCTGTTTCCTCCCCTACTCTTCCTTGAACCTGCAGTATTTCCACTTTTATTAAACTATCTCTACCCGGACTATCAGTGTGCTCCCTTCCTATTCCGCCATCTTGCCTCCTACCCCTAAGGCATGCGGATCTGGCTGAAATGCCCATGAGAGTATTTCAGGCATGGAAAGCCAAGACACTCTGGGGGAAAAAAAAAACCTAAATGAAAGATCTCCACGAGTGAGATCCCAGTGGAAAGAATGGGTCATCAAAGAAGGAGGTACCTTTCTCTGAAGGGAGGAGAGAACCTCCACTTTGACCATGGCCTTGTCTAAAAATGATCAGAGTCAGTGAACTCAGGGGGCTTCCATAGCCTTGGCAACTCATGACAAGAGCCTAGGGTGATTACTGATGCCATAAACAAGAGTGTCGATTTGTTAAGTCAACAACAGGAGTCACTGTGCACTTACTCCTCATGTAGGATCTTTGTCCTTAGTGTGCTGTACATTGAGATCTAATGCTATAACTAGTACTCAAACAATATTTTTCACTTTATGTTTCTGTGTGGGAGAAAACTGTTGAAATCTTTACTTAATGTATGCTAAACTGATCTTCTGTATATAAAGAGAATCGAAAATGAATCTTGATATGAATGGAAGGGGAGAGGGAGTGGATAAGGGGAGGGTTGCGGGTTGGAGGGACGTTATGGGGGGAAGTCATTGTAATCCATATTCTGTACTTTGGAAATTTATATTCATTAAATAAAAGTTAAAAAAAAAAAGAGAGACTTAAAAAAAACAGTTAAAACAAAAATCATTTCAGTACATCTGGACACATTTAAATAACAGACTTGCATAGAGTAGTGTGAAATGGAATGGACCAGACCAGGACAGAAAGGGCAGAATAGAAAAGGAGTGTATTGTAGACTATGAAACTCTGTGTGTGTGTGTGTGTGTGTGTGTTGGGTTGTGATGTAAAATTTTTGTCCTACTATAAGTGTAATCAAGCGAGTTTAAATGATTTGCTTTGCTGATCTCTGTTCCTTCAAACTGTTGGATGACTTTTGTTGAGGACAGGATCTCTGGGCACAGCAAAAATATTTATAATCCACTCTTACACTCTTATCATGTTAAATGCTTGAGAAAATTTGGAAAGGGATTGAGTATTCTGTGTAGAGTCATAAAATATAACATCACCTTTTCTTAGAAAAAGTCTAGTAAGTAGCTACAGTAAAGGTTTCATTGCAAGATGACCTATTATTATTATAAATATAATAAACATGCTAACATGTGGCAGATGAGTTATTGAAATGGAATGATTTTTACATTATTTCAATAAGCAATTATGGTAGTTTGTAAAAGGAAATAAATGATACAATGTAAAGGAAAAAATTAGCATAAACATGCAAAAGAGTTGAGAGATATATATACCAAGGAGTTCTCAGTGGTTATTAATTGAGTAATTGCATGTGATTTCTTATCTTATCAGATTTTTTCATCTTTAAAATGAATATTTAGTAACAAATTATGTTTAATTTCTTTTTTAAAAAAGATTTATTTATTTATTTGAAAGGCAGAGTTACAGAGAAATAGGGACAGAGAGAAAGAGAGAGAGAGAGAGAGAGAGAGAGAGAGAGAGAATCTTCCATCAGCTGGCTACCCCCTAAAAAGCAACAACTACTGGGATTGGGCCAGGTCAAAGCCAGGAGCCAGGAGCTTTGTCTTGCTCTCCCCTGTGGGTACAGAGGCCCAAACAGTTGTGCCATCATCTGCTGACCTCCCAGGCATTTTAGCAGGGAGCTGGATAGGAAGTGGAGCAGCCAGGACTCGAACCGATGCACATATGTGATGCCAGCATCGCGGGCGGCAGCCCAGCTTGCTACTCCACAGCCCTGGCCCCTCATGTCTAGTTTTTAAATGTTAATCCCAGAAGTAACAAAACCCTGTCAGCCTTTTGGCTAAGATCAAGTGTGAAAATCCAGAAGACTCTGTGCTTTGCTTAAGGACAGGCATAAGGGAGGTAGATAAGGGAGTATGATATTCAGACCCCATACTCATTCACACACAGATGACTTCAACATAAACTTGCTCTCAAGGATTGTGTAACTTTTAAAAATAATTATCAGTGAAATTAATCTCTGTTTTTAGCTTATCAATGCTTCCTTAATAATAGTATTTAGGTACTGAAATACTATTTAGGAGAGAAATTATTTTTATAGTTGATTAACAAATTTAGTGGGCCATAGGCAATAACCATTTCTCCCATGACTTATCATCATATTATCTGGAATAGTTGTAGAAGCATAATCTGTTTAGTGAAAGAAAAAATACCTAGAGAATACATAAAATAATTTGAAGAAGTGTCAAATGGTAATGGGTATAAATTTATTTTGAATTGCAAGTTATTTACACAGTGTGTGTGTGTATATATATATATATAAAAGTAGAAACTCAAAGAATATATAGAGAGACTCAAATAGACTATGTGAGTATGTGTATGATGTATATTTAAGTTTGTATGGATGTATTATGAGTATATTGATATTATCTCAGTAGGGAAGGCATTTGAAATCATTTAAAGTATAAGGAGCTGATGAGCTTTTTGATGGAGGAACATAAACAGATTGGATTTTTGAGGCAGATGCTGGGGTGGCGTGTTGAGGAGATGAACTGGATAACCTCAGGGTGCATTGCAACCCAAATGGTCAACTCCATTAATTTAGCTTGAATCATAGAGCTTTGCATGACTTACATGTGCTTCTGTACTAATGTGAAAATCAATGCCAAAAAAAAAACAAAAAAAACTGAGAAAAGATGCTACTTTAGTTTTGAAAAAAAGAATTTTTTGGGATTCTGTGTATTCTAATATCATAAATGAAATTAATTTTGATGAGAAAGATATAAATTATCCAATTTATTTTTCCCTCAAGTGAATTACCACTGTATATAAATTCTATAATAAAATTATTATTAATCAGCAACAGTGAAATTATACTGTAAATATAAAGGCATAGAATTCACTTTGATTTTCATAAAGTAAAAATATCTATGCCAAGACAATATAATCAATATTATGGAAACTATTATATAATGATATAGTGTCTATAGTAGTAGTAGGAGTAGTAGTAGTAACATTTAAATTACTTGAAATGCTTTACCTTTTTTTTCTTTCTTTTCAGTCAGCGAGTTTATTTTTCACACCAGAAAGTTCATTACCAGAATATATCCCAAAGCAATGAGAGCGGACTCTTCTAATTTTAATCCTCAAGAATTTTGGAATATAGGTTGTCAAATGGGTATGTTATATAGGATATTATGTTACTAGCAGAAGAAGATAAAAGATAATGAGAAAATATTCCTAGAACATTTGTTTGGCTCTGGAGGCTTTGAGGTTAGGCACTAAAGGCAAATCATTGGTTTAGCGCTGAACTAATTCTTACACAGGTTGGAGAGGATAATTCAGGTGAAGGTCGGGGGCATGGAAATTAACTTATGAGGAATTAGTACAAGACACATATAGTGGAGGCAGGAAGCAAGGGTTCCAAAATGGATGTAAGAGGACAATGAAACTCAGGTTTCTCGGTTTGAAAGTCATGCTCAAGGCTTCTTCAAATCAAGCGACCTCTCCTTTCTATTTTACATGGACATCTACACTCATAGTCTTGAAAAGTGAATAGGATTGTAGGGCTTTTGACTTGTTCTCACCAGACTGCTTATCCCAAATTGAACAGCTAGCAGAGCACTGGAAATAGCCAATCAGAAAATCCAGGGTGTTAACCCTGCTTCCACGGGGTTGAGGAAAGTCCCTAGGCCTGAAGAAAGCCAGATTGAAGACCAGGTGGGAGGTGGGAGGTGCATGGGGTGGAGGGTGAGGGTGATTCTGTGTATATGTGTATAGCAAGTATTTAACAGCCTGTATCCAGCTACTTCTGTATTTTTTTTAACGTTTATTTAATGAATATAAATTTCCAAAGTACGACTTATGGATTACAATGGCTTCCCCCCCATACCGTCCCTCCCACCCACAACCCTCCCCTTTCCCACTCCCTCTCCCCTTCCATTCACATCAAGATTCATTTTCGATTATCTTAATATACAGAAGATCAGCTTAGTATACATTAAGTAAGGATTTCAACAGTTTGCTCCCACACAGAAACATAAAGTGAAAAATAATAGATGGTTTTTTTTAAATGATGATGAAATCAGATCAGACCTATTGTCATGTTTAATCCCAGTGAGAGTCAAGTTGGGAATTGATAATTTTTTTTTTTTACAGAGGATCAGTTTAGTATGCATTAAGTAAAGATTTCAACAGTTTGCACCCCCATAGAAACACAAAGTGAAATATATTGTTTGAGTACTCGTTATAGCATTAAATCTCAATGCACAGCACATTAAGGACAGAGATCCTACATGAGGAGTAAGTGCACAGTGACTCCTGTTGTTGACTTTACCAATTGACACTCCTGTCTATGGCATCAGTAATCACCCTAGGCTCTTGTCATGAGTTTCCAAGGCTATGGGAGCCCTCTGAGTTCTCCGACTCTTATCTTGTTTAGACAAGGTCATAGTCAAAGTGGAGGTTCTCTCCTCCCTTCAGAGAAAGGTACCTCCTTCTTTGATGACCTGTTCTTTCCACTGGGATCTCACTCACAGAGATCTTTTGCCAGAGTGTCTTGGCTTTCCATGCCTGAAATACTCTCATGGGCTTTTCAGCCAGATCCGAATGCCTTTAGGGCTGATTCTGAGGCCAGAGTGCTGTTTAGGACATCTGCCATTCTATGAGTCTGCTGAGTTTCTCACTTCCCATGTTGGATCACTCTCCCCTTTATTTATTCTATCAGTTAGTGTTAGCAAGTACTAGACTTGTTTATGTGCTCCCTTTGACTCTTAGTCCTTTCATTATGATCAATTGTGAACTGAAATTGATCACTTGGAATAGTGAGATGGCATTGGTACATGCCACCTTGATGGGATTGAATTAGAATCCCCTGGTATGTTTCTAACTCTACCATTTGGGGCAAGTCAGCTTGAGCATGTCCCAAATTATACATCTCTTCCCTCTCTTATTCCCACTGTTATGTTTAACAGGGATCACATTTCAGTTAAATTTCAACACTTAAGAATAACTGTGTATTAATTACAGAATTAAACCAGTAGTATTAAGTAGAACAGACAAAAAAATACTAAGAGGGATAACGTATTAAGTTGTTCCTTAACAGTCAGGGGTATGCTGATCAAGTCACCGTTTCCCATAGTGTCCATTTCACTTCAACAGCTTTCCTTTTTGGTGTTCAGTCAGTTGTCACCGATCAGGGAGAACATATGGTATTTGTCCCTTTGGGACTGGCTTATTTCACTCAGCATGATGTGTTCCAGATTCCTCCATTTTGTTGCAAATGACTGGATTTCGTTGTTTCTTACTGCGGTATAGTATTCTAAAGAGTACATGTCCCATAATTTCTTTATCCAGCCTACCATTGATGGGCATTTAGGTTGGTTCCAGGTCTTAGCTATTGTGAATTGAGCTGCAATAAACATTAGGGTGCAGACCACTTTTTTGTTTGCCAATTTAAATTCCTTTGGGTAAATTCCAAGGAGTGGGATGGCTGGGTCGAACGGTAGGGTTATCTTCAGGTTTCTGAGGAATCTCCAGACTGACTTCCATAGTGGCTTGACCAGTTTGCATTCCCACCAACAGTGGGTTAGTGTCCTTTTTTCCCCACATCCTCGCCAGCATCTGTTGTTGGTAGATTTCTGCATGTGAGCCATTCTAACCATGGTGAGGTGAAACCTCATTGTGGTTTTGATTTGCATTTCCCTGATTGCTAATGACCTTGAACATTTTTTCATGTGCCTGTTGGCCATTTGGATTTCCTCTTTTGAAAAATGTCTATTGAGGTCCTTGGCCCATCTCTTAAGTGGGTTGTTGGTTTTGTTTTTGTGGAGTTTTTTGATCTCTTTGTAGATTCTGGTTATTAACCCTTTATCTGTTGCATAGTTTGCAAATATTTTTTCCCGTTCTGTCGGTTGTCTCTTCACTCTCCTGACTGTTTCTTTTGCAGTACAGAAACTTCTCAATTTGATGCAATCCCAATAGTTGATTTTGGCTTTGACTGCCTGTGCCTCCCGGGTCTTTTCCAGGAACTCTTTGCCTGTGCCAATATCTTGAAGGGTTTCTCCAATGTTCTCTAGTAACTTGATGGCGTCAGGTCATAGATTTAGGTCTTTAATCCATGTTGAGTGCATTTTTGTGTAAGGTGTAAGGTAGGGGTCTTGCTTCATGATTCTGCACGTGGAAATCCAATTTTCCCAGCACCATTTATTGAATAGACTGTCCTTGCTCCAGGAATTAGTTTTAGATCCTTGATCAAATATAAGTTGGCTGTATATGTTTAGGTTGATTTCTGGTGTTTCAATTCTGTTCCATTGGTCTATCCATCTGTTTCTGTACCAGTACCATGCTGTTTTGTTAAAAACTGCCCTGTAGTATGTCCTGAAATCTGGTATTGTGATGCCTCCAGCTTTGTTTTTGTTGTACAAGATTGCTTTAGCTATTCGAGGTCTCTTGTGCCTCCATTTGAATTTCAGCACCATTTTTTCCAGATCTGAGAAGAAGGTATTCAGTAACTTGATTGGTATTGCATTGAATCTATAAATTGCTTTTGGGAGAATGGACATTTTGATGATATTGATTCTTCCAATCCATGAGCATGGAAGATTTTTCCATTTCTTGGTATCCTCTTCTATTTCTTTCTTTAAGGTTTTGTAATTTTCATCGTAGAGATCTTTAACGTCCTTGGTTAAGTTTATTCCAAGGTATTTGATTGTTTTTGTAGCTATTGTGAATGGGATTGATCTTAGAAGTTCTTCCTCACCATGGCATTGTCTGTGTATACAAAGGCTGTTGATTTTTGTGCATTGATTTTATACCCTGCTACTTTGCCAAACTCTTCTATGAGTTCCAATAGTCTCTTAGTAGAGTTCTTTGGGTCCCCTAAATAAAGAATCATGTCATCTGCAAAGAGGGATAGTTTGACCTCTTCCTTCCCAATTTGTATCCCTTTAATTTCTTTTTCTTGCCTAATAGCTCTGGCTAGAACCTCCAGAATTATATTGAATAGCAGTGGTGAGAGTGGACATCCCTGTCTGGTACCAGATCTCAGTGGAAATGCTTCCAACTTTTCCCCATTCAATAGGATGTTGGCTGTGGGTTTTTCATAGATTGCTTTGATTGTATTGAGGAATGTTCCTTCCAAACCCAGTTTGCTTAGAGTTTTCATCATGAACGGGTGTTGTATTTTATCAAATGCTTTCTCGGCATCTATTGAGATAATCATATGGTTTTTCTTCTGCAGTCTGTTAATGTGGTGTATCACATTGATTGTCTTGCGCACATTAAACCATCCCTGCATACCAGGGATAAATCCCACTTGGTTTGGTGGATGATCTTTCTGATGTGTTGTTGCATTCTATTGGCGAGAATTTTATTGAGGATTTTTGCATCTATGTTCATCAGGGATATTGGTCTGTAGTTCTCTTTCAGTGCTGCATCTTTTTCCGGCTTAGGAATTAAGGTGATGCTGGCTTCATAGAAAGAATTTGGGAGGATTCCCTCTTCTTCGATTGTTCTGAATAATTTGAGAAGAATTGGAGTTAGTTCTTCTTTAAATGTCTGGTAGAATTCAGCAGTGAATCCATCTGATCCTGGGCTTTTCTTTGTTGGGAGGGCCTTTATTACTGTTTCAATTTCTGTCTCAGTTATGGGTCTGTTTAGGTTTTTGATGTCTTCCTGGTTCAATTTAGGTAGGTTGCATGTGTCCAGGAATCTATCCATTTCTGATAGGTTTCCCTGTTTGCTGGCATACAAGTTCTTGTAGTAATTTCTGATGATTCTTTTTATTTCTGTGGTGTCTGTTGTTACACTTCCTTTTTCATCTCTGATTTTATTGATTTGTGTCTTTTCTTTTTTTAGTTAGTTGGGCCAATGGGGTGTCAATTTTGTTTATTTTTTCAAAAAACCAGCTCCTCGTTTGGCTGATTTTTTGTAATGTTTTTCTTGATTCAATCCTGTTGATTTCTTCTCTGATTTTAATTATTTCTCTTCTCCTACTAGATTTGGGTCTGGTTTGCTGTAGGTTTTCTAGATCCTTGAGGTGAATTGAAAGCTCATGTATTTGGTGCCTTTCCAATTTCTTGATGTGGGCACCTATTGATATAAACTTTCCTCTTAACACTGCTTTTGCTGCGTCACATAAGTTTTGGTATGTTGTGCTGTTATCCTCATTTACTTCCAGAAAGTTTTTGATTTCTCTTTTGATTTCTTCTATGACCCATTGTTCATTCAGGAGCATGTTGTTCTTCTGTATTTTAACACTGATCGCTCTGTGTATTTCTCATTTCCTCCCGAAGTGGCAACCATACCTCTCGGTGGTTAGAATAGAGTTGACATCTTCACTTCCTCAGTTTAAACTACTCGCGTTCTTTATCCTCATATTTCTTGAGTGTTACTAACATAGACATTGGCTGTTTCTATAATCTATACTGTGTGCCATTTTGATTTCTGTACTCAAACTTTATTGTGATCTAGTTTACAGATTAAACATGGCGACTCAGCAACACACATTAATATAAATGTGGCAAGAGGAGGATGTTAAATGTCTAGAATTATTAGGCTAATGATACTTTTTAAAAAGGACATTTAAAGATACTTAATCAATGATTAGATTTCTGTAAATTTTCAACTGTATCTTCTATTTTCTGATAATGTTAAAATACTTCTTTCTTACAGTGGCCTTAAATTTCCAGACTCCCGGTTTACCTATGGACCTGCACAATGGGAAATTTTTGGATAATGGTGGTTCTGGATATATTTTGAAACCCCAATTTCTAAGAGATAATAAATCACAGTTTAACCCCCATAAAGCAAATGACAGTGATCCTATTACACTTACAATAAAGGTAAGATAAATAACATTTTATTTTGTCTTATTTTATCATTATATAAACTTGACAATGTGCATTAATATTTTGAATGTCATGGGTTTACTTTAATACCTTTTAAATTTATGTTAATCTTTACAGTTGAGAGGTATTTCAGGACATTTCAGCATGTGACAAATATTTTTCTGTTGCATTTTCATGTGACTGGTTGCCTACTTATAAATAGAAATATTAAGGCTAAAGTTTCTTTTAAAGATTTTACTTATTTATGCATTTAACAGGTAGAGTTACAGACAGAGAAAGGGAGAGACAGAGAGAGCGGTCTTCCATCTGCTGGTTTATTTTTTTTTTTTTTTTTTTTTTTTTTTTTTTTTTTTTGACAGGCAGAGTGGATAGTGAGAGAGAGACAGAGAGAGAAAGGTCTTCCTTTGCCGTTGGTTCACCCTCCAATGGCCGCCGCTGCAGCCGGCGCACCGCGCTGATCCTGGCAGGAGCCAGGAGCCAGGTGCTTTTCCTGGTTTCCCATGGGGTGCAGGGCCCAAGCACCTGGGCCATCCTCCACTGCACTCCCTGGCCATAGCAGAGAGCTGGCCTGGAAGAGGGGCAACCGGGACAGAATCCGGCGCCCCAACCGGGACTAGAACCCGGTGTGCCGGCGCCGCAAGGTGGAGGATTAGCCTATTGAGCCACGGCGCCGGCTCAAGGGGAGCAGGAGCCCATCTGCTGGTTTACTCCCCAAATGGCCACAAAGGCTGGAGCTGGGCTGATCTGAAGCCAGGAGCCAGGAGCCAGGAGCTTCTTCCAGGTCTCCCACGTGAGTGCAGGGGCCCAAGGACTTGGGCCATCTTCTGCTGCTTTCCCTGGACATAGCAGAGAGCTGGTTTGGAAGAGGAACAGCCAGGACTTGAACCAGCGCCCATATGGGATGCTGGCACTGCATGTGGCGGCTTAGCCCACTACGCCACAGTGCCGGTCCCGTGGCTAAAATTTTGTTCTCTCAAAGATTTATTTCTGTTATTCTACTGTATTTAGGCATTTAATGCTATGATAAAGAGATCTGTGTTTATCCCTCTAATCACCGTATGTACATGTTGCCCTTCCCCCGACACACACCTTAGCTTTAAGTAATTTTATCAAAAAGTCCTAGAAGTTATTTTCTTGTCATTAGTTTCCAGAACTGGGCTTTTGTAGTTCAGGATATTTTTTCCCTTATGTTTCTGGGCATTATTTGATTTCTTAGAAAGAAAAGTATCCATATAATTTTTCCAGTAATTCCTCCATGTCAAGTAATTTGCGCCAGTTTTATCATGTTCCCATTTCTTCTGCATTTTTGACTAGCTTTTAACATTCATTCTCTATGCTGATAATTCTGTCTCTATTTGATGTTATTCTTTACTGATTTTAAGGTGGACGTGAATTTTCTCTTGCCTTATTAATTTATCCTGCAATTATTATTCACCTCATACTGTTTCCTTCTTATTTCTCTCTCTTATCCAGCTTTCTTCCTCCACACTACTGTATCATTATTTCATCTTTCATCTCTTATGCATCCTGTGTAATTTCATTAAAAGCAGTAGCAACTATCTAGAATTTCTTGTTTCCATTACTTTTCACAACATTTTTTCATTCTTCTATTATCTAAGTGCTATGTAATGGAATACTTTGAAAGACCTCTAATAGCTTTTTCTTTGTACTTAATTATGAGCTATCCTATTGTAGACATGACTGTACCTGCTGTTTGCTAACAAGTAAAGGTGGGCATGGTGTCGTTAGTCCCTCTTTCTCTTTAAAAAGTTGCTCCAAGATTCATGAAAACCATTTCAGATCCTGATTTGGAATTTTGGTCAATATTTACATTGCTATTTATGGGTAGGTTTATTCTATTTGCTGTTACTACTTGATGAAGCTTTGCTGTTTTGCTTGCTGTAGAGAGATTTCCTGCTCTGTATTACCTGACTGGTCTAGCGCATGCAGTGCTAAAGCTTCTAGAATGTATCTCTCCCATATGACTCTTCTTTTCTCAACTCCTTCCTCCACTTTTGTAACATCACAGGGGTTGGGACATCGCTCTCATCTACTTCAGACTGAGCCATTTTATCCCAGCTGGAAATGGGAGGTTTAAGAGCTGTTGTCCAGAAATGCATGTGGAAAGAGGATCCTGCAAAGAAAAACAGGCCTGAAATTATCCTGGCCATTGCAGGAAATAGTGCCAGATATCTGTGTGGCTGACTTTTCTCCTAACTCTTAGGGACTTTGTGACATTCAAGTAGGAGCACGTAGTAAAGAGCAGAAATCGCCTGCCACACTGGATGCAGTATTGACATCTTTGATTATTTGATACGCTTTCTTTGAACTGGCAATGTGTTGGCCATTGAGCTTATTTAAATTTTTAAAACTTTTTTCTTTACTTATTTTCATTTTTATTGGAAAGGCAGAGAGACAAGAGGGAATGGGAGAGACAGAGGGAGAGGAGAGAGAAGAAGGGGGAGAAGAGAGAGAGAGAGAGAGAGAGAGAGAGAGAGAGAGAATGAATATTTTCCAGCAAGAGGGTAGGCCAGCCTGGAACTCCATCTGGGTCCCCAGAATGGGTGGCAGGGTCACAAACACTTGAGTCTTCACCTATTCTTTTCCTGGGTGTGCATTAGGAGGAAACAGGATTGAGAAGTGGAGCCAGGACTTAAACCTAGGAACTCTGATGTGGGATGAGGGCAATCTAAGCAGCACCGTAACTTCTGTGACAAACATTCATCCCAGAGCATATTTTTTGTTATTACAAAATGTTACTATTATGTTTGTGATTTTTTATAATTGCTGTAATAAGAAGATAGGATGAAACAGGCACCTGTATGATCTCTTCTTACGCCACACAAGGCTCCCTCTGTGCTTCTGAAACTCTGCTCTTCTGCTCTTTTCCCACAAAAAGCCGAGAAACAATACCCCTGATTTCCTAAGTGATTCTTCTCATTTCTGTTGGTGAGTGCCTGTTTTTGTACATGCCTCTAATGTATCTATGTTGCATAAATTGTTTAATCAACACTCATTTCAAACTAAATATTCTCCTGAGGTTCATTTTTACATTCATGGCTCAACCAACTGCAATGCTCAAATCTTCTAACTGACTTAATTTGGAATCTAGAGGAATATAGATATATGTAATATTAATTATATATTATATATATTTAAAACTTAAAATATTAAAATTGAATATTTCTTACTTGTCAAATCTACTTTTATATTTATGTGTCAGTGAATGGTACAATTCATCCACTCAATTAGCTCAGACTAGAAAACTGGGAGCCGTTCTAATATTACACATCTCCTTCCCTTCCTATGTCCAATCCATCTTTGAATTCTGCTCTTTTCTGCTCCTGTCATCCGTATCCTTTCTCTTTGCCTGACTCCTTCGCTGCTGCCCTATTTGAAGAATGTACTACCTGTCATCTAGTCTACTTCTTTGACTTCCTAAGGGATTTTCAAATAGCCTGTCCCAGCTCTGTGACCCTTCCCCTGCAATTCAGTGTTATCATAGCTCCTTAATACTCACATCTGTGTCCTGATGATTTCCCTAGCCTATCTCACACCACTTTTAGCCTTTCATCCAACTCTAGGACCACATAGAATTAGGATCCCTCTCTGACGTTGGTTCACCTCCAGAATTGCATATGCTGTTTCCTCTGACAGGTCTATTCTTCCTTCTCCTGCCTGGTGCTTTCTGACCCACTTTTTAAGAATTAGGAGCCACCTCTTTCTGAAGCCGTTTACTTGGCTAGGTTAGTTGTGCTTCTCTTCTGGCTTTGCTTTGTTTCTCCATAGCACTATACACTCACTGATTATGGAACCAGCCATACTGTATTATAATTTAGTCATCATTTCTTGTCTTGCTCCTAGACTTGACTGAAGATCCTTCAAGGGTAAGAGCCATGTTTTGTGGAATCCTTATTCACAGTACTTGACACAAAGTATGTGCTCAGTACATGTAGGTTAATCAAATGAATGACTTCTGTGTCGTGCTGAGAAGAGCAAAGAGAACACATATGCTCTCTTATTAAGAAGTGGAGGTGAGAGCTAGCTGGTGTGCATAGATACTCACAGTTGCCGCATGTCTGTATTCAAGAGTCTCATGTTAAGATGTAAGTGGCTTGGAGTGAAACAGGCAACTCCTGCCCCCAGCCTTTCAAGTCTTACTTTTTCGTCATTCTTGGGAGCTTTGTGATTACTCCATGATTTTCACAAATTATTAGTTGGAAATCACAGGCCTCATTTGACTATTCGCTCTCTATGTCCCTGACGGATGCTTTCAACTTTCCTAGTTTACCCTTAGTCATCTGAGGACTGAGAGTTTCAGTCTAGCCCAGTTGTTTCGAATCATGAAATCCATAGAACCACTATCTGAATTCAAATTATTATGTCTAAAGCCAAAGGGCGAAAACTGAGTTTCTCTCCTTGACTGCTGATGGTTTTCTTTGCTGTGATTCCTGCTGCAAAGGCTTTGCAGATTAGAATGGATAAATTATTTGATGAATATTCTCTTAATTTAATTTCACTTCTCATATTCAATGATGTTTTTTAATGTTAGACATTTTTTTGTAATAAAGTGCACAGAAGCTGAATCTTATCCATTTTGGCAAGAGTCTGCTGTCTGAGACTTAGTATTTAGTTGATAAACTGATATTTGATGTGAGTGTGGTGCATGTCTATGGTCAGTGTTCTCTCCATTGACTCATGTCTAACGGTGCTGATGGATTGACTCCCACTCCATGCTGATTTTTAAATATCTGCACTGTCACTCTAGTTTCCAGCTAATACAATAACATGTGGATTTAGGAAAGGAGAAATTACATATTAGAAATTTTACTGTTCTGTTTCTTTTTCCTTTCCATCCATCTCTCCTCTTTTTCCTTCCTTCCTTTTTGCCAATATTGTTCATTTGTTCCTCTTTTATAATCTTTAAAAATTTGGATTATGTCTCAATTTTTATAACTGCATATTTAGGCTTTTAACTTTCATTTCTTACCCTAAATAGGCACATTGCAAACAGTCTTTTTATGTTTATTTTGTTCATTATTAAAACAAATGTTTGCTTCAGTGATTAGCTTGGCTATTTAAAGGCTAAGGAAAATGCTTCTGGGACTGGCATTTTGGCATAGCAGGTTAGGCCTTCACCTGTGATACGGGCATCGTATATGAGTGTTGGTTCAAGACCCAGTGTTCCACTTCCCATCCAGCTCCCTGCTAATGTGCTTGGGAAAGTAGGGGAAGGTGGCCGAAGTGTTTGGACCCTGCACTCATGTGTGAGACCTGGAAGAAGCTCCTGGCTCATAGCTTTGGCCTGGTCTAGTCCTGGCTGTTGCAGCCATTTGGGGAGTGAGCCAGCAGATGGAAGATTCTCTCTCTCTCTCTCTCTCTCTCTCTCTAACTCTGCCTTTAAAATAAATACATTGAAAAAGTAAAAATACTATTAATACTTTGTTAAGCATCCTTTTGATATTCAGGCCCTAATATACATGTGAAATCATTGATTTTGTCAGACTCAGGTTACTTATTATGACAATATGGATAAGAATGGATACTGCAAAATTCCATAAATTAGTCAATTGTGTATTCTACCACCAGAAAATTATATGTGGGAAATTATATAGTGCTTTTTAAATTATATTTATTTTTTAATAGAAAACTTTTATTTAATAAATATAAAAAGTGCAACTTTTGGATTATAGCAGTTTTTCCCACAATAACCACCAACCCACCTGCAAACCATCCTATCTCCTACTCCCTCTCCCATGCCATTCTTCATTAAGATTCATTAAGATTCATTTTTAATTTTCTTTATATACAGAAGATCAACTCTATACTGAGTAAAGATTTCCACAGTTTGCACCCAGTAATATTCCCATTATTTTTTGGTATTTTGCTATATATAACATGAATTTTAAAATAGTCTGTGTTATCAGAGTAACAGCCTGAATGACAGTATAGAGTGATGTCATAAATGTTTTTAAAATAGAAATATATATTAGTGCATTCTAAACCTTAGACATTAGATTCCACTATAATCACATTTCAGCAAAATGGACTGATTTAGATGTTTTCTTCATATTTATCTACTGAGACTTGAGGATAAAAGCTTGAATTTTAAAATTTTCATTATTTTCCATCTTTCATTTGTGTAGGAACTGACTTAGAGTCTATTGATGATTTTGGAATTCAGAATTTTATTTTTAAGTTAAGTGGTGATGCGTTTAATCTCCTATGTTCTTGTATTCGCATGCATTTGTGCAGATCATCAGTGGGATCCAGTTGCCTCTAAGCAACTCCTTCACTAACAAAGCTGACACCTTGGTGATTGTAGAAGTTTTTGGTGTTCCAAATGATCAGATGAAACAGCAGACTCGTGTAATTAAAAAAAATGGTGAGCGCCTAGTATATTGCATGGTACTTGTATTAGACTTCTTGTTGGAAAGCTTAAAAATCACCTTGATAGAATGCTTCACACATATTTATTATTCATAAGGCAGAAGTTTTGCATTATGCTCAAGATAACCAAAATGTTTTATGCTGCAAAGACAATTTGATTCTGATGAGGTTGTTTAGGTATATTTTCAGATTATACTCACAGAAATTTATCTGACCTAAAAATTATGTTTTTTTTTCACTTAACCTCCTTTTTATGTTCTCCCTCATGTTGCTGAATTAAGAGTGACATTTTGACAGCTGCAAATATACTTAGCTTCTAACCTCTACATTAAATTTAAAAACTTATGACTGTTCTGACACAGTGTATTACACATTTTTACCTCATTGAATTATTTTAGATCAAAGGTCTATAGCTTCTGAATCAGACTAAGGATACAGTAAAAACCGACTGATGCAATATTTAGATTCATAATTCATTCACCTTTTCCAGAAGGAAATGTAGGATTGGAAAAAATGACTTTGGAAAGATTCTGATGTTTTATGTAATGCAGTACTGGAATTGCCATTTCTTCTGAAAGCACTAAGGAAATTAGAAAAGGTTAGGATCCTGGGTTTGCTCCAACTCAGAATCATCTTGGAGAAGACGCTTGGAACTGATTCTTAAGTCTGGAATTTCTTTGAGTGGATAGTCCCAAAGGATAGTCGACTTCATTGCAGACTAAATGGTACTAGCAGAGGAGCTCGTAGAATTTTATTAGTTTTTTTCCTTATTGCTGGATAATTTTTAACAAGGTCCACAGTCTGTTTGCCTTGTATCCCCTCAGATACTCTCCTCTAGTACAGATGGTCTGGAAAAAGATTCAGAGGCTTTTGCTGACTCATTCCTTGTTGTCAGTGCGAAAGCTTGTTGGTGATGACTTGCTGCATTAGCTGGTACCCCTTAGAGTTGAAAGCATATTAGAATGGTGATTTGAAGAAACAGTAACTGCTATGTTAGGAAGCTTGGAGAAACCTGCTTCTTGTTCCCTTCATCCATGACTTGAATCATCATGATGCATGATCGTGTGTGTATGTGTGTGTGTGTGTGTGTGTGTGTGAGAGAGAGAGAGATACAGAAGGGAGGCAGAAGGTGTAAGTAATGATGTAGCATTGGAAGAGATGAGCCAATTAGTTTGCTATTTCTGTGGGCATAGGATGCATCTGGGATTGCTTTCTTGTAAATGTATGCTTATGAACTACAGGTACACCATAGAAAATAAAGATAGTCACAAATTCATCAGTGCTCCTGAAAAAAAAAAAGCTATTCACATAGCAGGTATAACATTTCCTTTGCACATGAAAAATAGTACATATTATGTCTCTCCCAGTATTTGAGTCTTTATTAAGTAGAGTGTATTTTTGGATGTAGATTTCTTGTCTCCATTGCATTATGCCCTAATTTGGATAATCTGAGTCCTGTTGTGACACACTTGGATTTCTTGCTTGGTGAAGGATTAGTTTTTTTGGATCAATGTATTTTTCTAGAGACCAAGATTATTCAGCAACTTTGGATGTTGAAATGAGCACTTTGTCAAAAACAGATCAAAAACTGACTTTAGAGCACTCATTATCTAATTTTCAGTTCCTGTGAGAAGACCTGGCATAGAAAAATGATGTTACTTAACTGCATGGTATCTCAATGTCTTTGCTAGGGGAATGTCTAGGGCACATCAGTTATTTTGCATGATTCAGCATTTCTGTTCTGAACTTGGACTCCTTGTGTAGGAGTTCCTGCTCTGCCCCCTTATGTCTATGTTCAAGTATGTGAAACCATGAGGAAATAGCGTGTCATCTGTGTGACTCAGTTATGAGGGGTAAATGGGGATAGAATTGGTCTTGATGGAGTTATTGTGGAGAGTAAATGAGATGATTTAGTAAAATTCTAAGAACACAGCCTGCCTGCAATGTAAACACGCCGTATTGTTGGAATCATTCCTTTCATGAGGTACATTAAAAATATAAGTGCTCTAAGGCACAAGTTATTATTATTACTATGTTGAAAAGAAAATTTTGGGAAGCAACTATTGCCTATGTTTCCCCAAAAATTGTGATTCTTTATATCTGTCCCTTTGTATTTCAGCTTTTAGTCCAAGATGGAATGAAACATTCACATTTATTATTCAAGTGCCAGAACTGGCATTGATACGTTTTGTTGTTGTTGAAAATCAAGGTTTAATAGCAGGAAATGAATTTCTCGGGCAATATACTATACCACTGCTATGCATGAACAAAGGTATGCTCCTAAAAGTAAGCCATTGTACTAACATTTAAATACAACTTGACTTTATCAAAGACACAGTTTGATATGCATACAAATGGGATGCAAAGGAAATTTTATGTATTGATACATTTTCTATCCATGAAATTATAGCAAAGAGTTCTCATGAGAAAGGTAGGGTAAGAGTGGGGATTGGCAGGAAGACTAATTAGACAAACTTGGCATGCATAAGAATTTCTTTACATGAATTGTGGTTCTGGTCAGTGATGAGTAACCATGACTACCTTAAAGAATGAAGGGTGGTGATCCGACAGAGGACAGGTCATTGACTCAGTCTTTCTACATGAGAAGAGAGTGGTAGCCTCAGTCTGTTGTCTCCTGATCCTTCCCAGGATTGTCAAAATGTTGCATAGTTATCTTTTTAGAGTGGTTTATGCTGTACTGCCAAATATATATATCATGCATTTATTTTTCTTCTGTAATTATTCATTTGAGAGGCAGAGAGAGTAAGGGAGATAGAGAGCTCCCATCTGCTGGTTCATTCCATAAATGCCTATGAGAGTCTAGAGCTGGGAACCTATTCCAGGTACCCCACATGGGTCATGGAGAAGGAATTCCTTAAGGCATCACTGCTGCCTCCCAGGACCTGCATTAGCAGGAAAGTGGGGTCAGAGCCTAAAGCCATGAGTCAAACCCAGGCACTCTGAGACATGGGCAATGTAACCAGCATCTTTCTCACAGGACCAAATGATTGCCACTCGCTTTCCGACAGCATCCGAGCTGTTTCCAGTAAAGAGTCTTCCTGCAGCAGAGTGTGGTGACCAATTTTTGAGCATGCTGCATTCTGAGGACGGAGAAGCAGGGACTAGTTGTTTGTTTAGTATTGGGCATTAGGAAGTCATAATTCAAATAGTACATATAAGAGATCTTCACAAAGTTTATGGAAAACAGAAAAGTTTAGTTCGGTGCAAAAAATTTGAAATCCACACATAAAAAAACAGTTTTTGACAAGTTCATAAAAATATTATTAAAAGGTAAATATATTTGTGTGCAAAAGGGTTTTTTTTTTTTTTTTTTTTAGTTTTAAGCTTTTTAACCAGTGAGAGAAATGCTCAGGAGAGTAATGGCAACTTTGAGGGGAGAAAGAGAGGTCTAGAAGCTAAGTTGGGTCCATACCAAGCAGAGAGCAGCCAGGAGCGAGCCAGGTGGAGCAAGCAAGCAGGCAGGAAAGGCCACGTTCCCAAAGGCGCTGGGCAACAAGGGAGGGGCCCACCGGGTTCCAGGCCTTTTATCCACTTCCAAAAGGTTTTGAAATCTGTGCATGCAGAGAGGGGTTCGTAAGAAGTTTGTGGGAAATGTACATTATGAAAAAGTTGTACATGGATTTCAAAAATGTTCATGTCAAAATTATGTGCCTTTTAAAATTATTTTCCTGTGAGCTTTCTGAAATCTTCTTGTATTTAACTTTTGTGGGAAGTGAATCTACAGGATAGAACTATAATTTTATAGTTGGTGTATTTATTTATCAGAGACACACACCCACACAGAGACAGAGAGAGAGAGAGAGAGAGAGAAACAGAAAGAGCTCCTATTTGCAGATTCACTCCCCAAATGTCCACAATGGCTGGGGCTGGCCAGGCTGAAGCCAGGAGCTGGGAATTCAATCCATGGCTCCCTGTTTGGGTGTCAGGGACCCAAGTACTCGAGCCATGGCTGCTGCCTCCCAGGGTTTGCATTAGCCAGAAGTGGACTCGGGATATGCAACCCAGGAACTCTGTTGTGGATGCAGGCATCTTAACTGCTTTGCTAAATAGCAACCCCTGTAGTCATAGATGTTAATGTGTGCTTAGTCAGATCCCCATTCTCAGTAGCACTCTTGGGGTCATCACTGATTGACCTGTTTTTCTTGTACTAATTAGATGTGATTGCTTTTATAGGTTACCGTCGGGTTCCTCTGTTTTCCAGGATGGGTGAGAATCTTGAGCCTGCTTCACTGTTTGTTTACGTTTGGTATGTCAGATAGCTACTAACAGTATCTGGCACATTGTTAGTTATGCATCACAATAAAACAGCCAAAATGAATATGCATATCTCTTTTTACACTTACAGCAGATAATTACTTATAACAAAAAAGAAATATTAAACTAATTCATTCCAAAATATACAAAATAGAGCAGTGGGAAAAATAAAACAGAATCCTGTAGAAGGTCCTGACCTGGGTTGTCTCCTTGGTAACCACTGGTCTCCTGCCTGTGTGCTGGCAAGGCTGCTCTATTTATTATTTATTAATTAAGTTATTTTCACGCCAGGCAGAGTGGACAGGGAAAGAGAGAGATTTTTAAGAGAAAGACCTTCCTTTTTGCCATTGGTTCACCCTCCAATGGCCGCTGCGGCCAGCGCACCGCGCTGGTCCGATGGCAGGAGCCAGGTGCTTTTCCTGGTCTCCCATGGGGTGCAGGGCCCAAGGACTTGGGCCATCCTCCACTGCACTCCCTTGCCACAGCAGAGAGCTGGCCTGGAAGAGGGGCAACCGGGACAGAATCCAGCTCCCTGACCGGGACTAGAACCCGGTGTGCCGGCGCTGCAAGGCGGAGGATTAGCCTAGTGAGCTGCGGTGCCGGCCTCCAGACTGCTCTTTCACCCTGCATATATCTTTTTAAATTAGAAGTCACAACATTTTAAAATATGTCTGACTGTAGAAGATATGTTGGCCAATATTTGGCAATATAAAGAGATGGGAAATCTCTGTTTTAACTTCAAGATGCCCACTGCTGCATATTTTGGTGGAAAAAAATTAGATTGCCAGGCCCTTTGTACCCTTTTCTAACCTGGAGGGTAATTAGCCCCTGAATTCTCCGGCTAGTTCTTAGATGCTGCGTGCTAGATTTGGTACCCTGTAATTATACAGACATTTTTATGAATGCATATGAAATTGATTTGCATTTAAACTTTATTCAGACTCTGTATCTACAAATGAGATCTACTAGGTAGACTTACATGCTTGGATCTTGACTTAATTTGCACTATTTCTACTATTTCTGTAACTGTAGTAAATATACTTTCAAGATTATTTTATGGTCAGAGATGAGATTCCTATGGTATATTTGTATAGGACTTCTCATCACCAGTAGGATTTTGCTTTACTAAAATGTTGTGTAGAAAACATTTGGGACCTTAGTAATTACTCTTAAAAAACAGGAATATTAACACTTATTCTACCACATTGTTCCATGTTAGTGATTTGAAAGGACTCAGCAAAAATGGTTGACAGAGTGTGGGAGGGTGTCCTCCAAAGGTATTTATTGAAATTGAATACAGATTTATAAATAAAGTAATTAAGATGACCATGTGTTTGATATGTAGACTAATGTATCATCTCTTGATGACCAGAGAATACAAAAGGACCTGTTCAGCATGTTTTACCATTAACATGTTTACCCTCAGCATCAAGTATTTGAAATTAAAATAACCATTGGGTATTCAAATCCCCAAGTTATAAGTAGTAAAGTTATGCTAGGTTAGTCAGTGTATAATCTTCCAGATTGTCCCTCAGGGGAAATCTAGATTTCAGAGCAGGGTACATTCTTCCCACTGGGATGCACATTGGGAACAATGAATTAATTGCTCCTGTGGCAGCAGGTGTGTTGTTCAGCCCATTGACCATGACTTTAACTTACTCTGATTTCCTAAGGTCTTTTGGAGACCTGTGATACCACTAGATTGAAAGACTTTTATCAAGCGAGTTTTTTTTTTTTAAAGTTTTTTTATTTATTTGAAAATCAGAGTTACAGAGAAATGAGGAGAGAGAGAGGGAGGGAGTGAGAGAGGGAAGGAGGGATAGAGAGAGAGAGAGGGGAGGAGAGAGAGAGGAGGAGAGATCTTCCGTCTGCTGGTTCATTCCTCAGATCGCTGCAACAACCAGGCAGACCCAAGCCAGGAATTTCATTCCACTCTGTCACATGGATTAGAGGGGCCCAATAACTTGGGCTATCTTCCACTGCTTTTCCCAGGCTGCTATTAGGAGCTGGATTGAAAGAAAAGCAGCTGGGACATGAACTAGGGCCCTTATGAGATGCCAGCATTACAGGTAGCAGTTACACCCACCATGCCACAACACCAGCTCCATCATCAAGTGAAGTTTTTAAGATATTTTATTTATTTGAGAGGTAGAGTTATAGATAGAGAGAGTGTAGAGGCCCAAGCACTTGGGCTATCCTCTACTGACTTTCTAGGCCATAGCAAAGAGCTGGATCAGAAGAGGAGTGGCAGAACATGAACTGGTGCCCATAAGGGATGTTGGCACCATAGCTGGAGGCTTAGCCTACTATGCCACAGTGTTGGCCCCATCAAATGAACATTTTTAAAAATAGTTTTCTGTATATGGGTGAAATGGTCATTTTTCCATGCAAGCATGAGCTTTTTATTTTTTTTTAAGATTTTATTTATTTATTTGAGAGGTAGAGTTACAGACAGTGAGAGGGAGAGAGAGAGAAAGGTCTTCCTTCTGTTGGTTCACTCCCCAGATGGCAGAAACGGCTGAAGCTGTGCTGATCCAAAGCCAGGAGCCAGGTGCTTCTTCCTGGTCTCCTACATGGGGGCAGGGGCCCAAGCACTTGGGCCATCTTCCCAGGCCACAGCAGAGAGCTGAATTGGAAGAGGAGCAGCTGAGATTAGAACCAGCACCCATATGGGATGCCGGTGCCGCAGGAGGAGGATTAACCTACTTTGCCACAGCGCCAGCCCCTCCATCAAGTGAATTCTTAAGGAGACTTCATTAAATTTGCAGCAAGATAAAATGCTTCCCATTTACACCATCAGCCTTTGAAAAAAGAGAAAAAGGATGTATTCTCCTTTTGTCACCTCTTCTTTGGGTACCAGTCAAAAGTACTTCACTAATTTTGAAGACTAAATCTTTCATTTTCAAAAACATTCCATTCTACATGAGATGTATAATTTTGAGAGAAACCTTAAATTGTGTTATTTTCTAATCAATAAATCAATAATATTTGATATTCTTTAAATATTATTGGTGTTTTTTCTTTTGAGTTGGGGAAAGAGAGACAGAGAGTTCCTATCTACTGGTTCACCCCCTAAATCCCCACAGTGTGCTAGGGCTGGGCCAAGGCTGGCGCTAGGAGCTGGAATGCAATCGAAGTTTCCCATGAAGGTGACAGAAAACCAATTACTTGACTCATGATTGCTGCCAACCAGCATCTACATTGATGGGAAGCTGGAGTCAAGGAGCCAGAAGCAGAAATTGAATGCAGGTATTTCAACGTGGGAGTTGTGCTACACCCCCATTCCTGTTTCCATTGTCATATGTGCATTATTTATTACTTACCTTATACTTTAGGTGGAACTGGTATTGTGATGGTAATTACAATGACTATTTCCTTGCAAAACATATAACAGAGACTACCCAAGGGAACTTCACAACTGGGGAGTGTTCTCACATTAGGAAAGGCTGGAAGTGGTATGAGAAGCCAGCTGACTCATGCTTGGTAGGCATAGTTCATGCGTAAGAAAAAATGGTGTTGGAGAATGTAAGCAAACAGAAGACATGGCTGAACGTACCCCTGTGACTATCAATGAAGACCTTTTAGGTTCTAAACTCTTAGTTTAAAAGTTAGACTCTTAGGGAAGCCTTCTATGTTGGACTAGATTGGGCTGTATTCCTTGGTATAGGCTTTTGGACAACCCTAAAAATGAGAGCTAGTTGCTGACTTTGCATGACCAGTTAGGCCTTGGTGAAGCTGGAATTGGCACGGGCCCAGTTAGGCCTTAGTGATTCTTTGTTCAGCATAATCAATTTTACATCAACCACACAAGGCCACTCTGCATCAAGGAGGAACAAGACAAAGACAAGCTCTCTCTGTAATCATGACTCAACCCATTGTAGAAGCATGAATGTTGTCTAAAATATAAAAATGGCAAACACTCCCCTATCTTGAGTACCATGAGTGACTATCAGTTAATTATTAATTACTATTTTGTCTGGGTTGCTTGCCTTCCATTTGTAAGTAAGATTTATTCCAATCCTAGAACTCCTGTCTATTCTTGGCACCATCCAACACACAGGAGAGCTCTACTTCCTTGGATCCTCCCCTAAATCATGCAACACAAGTCCAAGTCTAATAGAGTCCTTTCTAATGCAGTATCACTGAGATACCCCGTTCTCCATGTTGTGCATCATGCCCGTCACAGTGAGCAATAACCGTGCATGTCCTGGTAGTCTTCTACGGGAGAGTGTTGGCACATACTTGGACTTCTTTTTTACGTTGTAGTGATCAATGTAACAGGTAATTTAATTATATTGTTAACGTTGAACTCTGCTTTTTTCTGGTGATGATAGTTCAGGGCTTCAAATAGAAAATACTTAGAGCACAGTTTCTCCACTTTGAATTACCCTGACTTTTGTCTTGGAAATGGTGGTTATGGAGTTGAAGTGACAGACTGACAGCTGAAGACAAAAGTTGCCCTGTTCATGAAATAGGTGTGGGATTGCTTTCATGTAGCCACAAAAAAGATGGTCTCTATTTTTCATTTTGGAAGTGGGGGGAATATATGGTTTTTTCTGAGAGATTCAGAACATGCATCCCAGTCAGAATCTCCAGGGGTTTCAGTCAAAATCTTTGTGCAAATCTCCGGGGATTTGGAAGCCACATGGGGAAAAGCTCATATTGTTGGTCAATGCAAAGAGAAGGGAATTGCTTCCTTTGGAGTGGAACCATAGAGTCTGAACAATGGAAATTTTATTGTGGGTATACATGGATTTCATTTTTCAAAAATTCTTAAGATCTCCATAGTCCTGGTACTAAAAAAAAAATGTGTTGGGTTCAGGTACTTTCAAAATAAGAATAATCTGGAAACCTGTGTCCCAGAAAAGAATTTTTGTTGAGGCATTTTAGGTTTTTTTTTTTAAAGAATTATTTGAAAGGCAGAGTTAGGAAGAGAGAAGGAGGAGAGAGATGGAGGGGAGAAAGAGTGTGTGTGTGTATGTGTGTGTGTGTGCGTGAGAGAGAGAGAGAAATCTTCCATCCACTGGTTCATTCCCCAATGACCACACTGGCTGGTACTGGACCAGGCTGAAGCCATGAGCCTGGAACTCCACCTGGGTTTCCCACATGGTAACAGGGGCCCCAGCACTTGGGCTTTCTGCTGCTGCTTTGCCAGGGACATTTTCAGGGTGCTGGATGGATTTGAAGCAGAACAGCCAGACCCTGAGCCAGCGCTCATATGGGACGCTGGTGTCACAAGTGTCAGGTAAGTCTGCTACCCCACATGTTATGTTCTTAGATCATAAACTTTTAGCCCTTTGTAGAAGTCAGTGTAAAGCTAATTTTATCAGCCAGTTAAAATTCTCATTTCAAAAATCAAATGGTAGATTGGAGGGAAATTTGAACCCATGTATAGATTGGACTTCCCTATTTATACACCATCTCAGCACACAGGAGGGAGTTGGCATTACACGCTTCAACAGCCCCCACCTTTTCAGGTATCAGTGCCTACTTTTTTTCCCTGTGAGTACACAATTAACTTTCATAATTCTGGTCATCTTCCCATTCTTTTCCCAAAGCAATCACTTTTCTCATGCGATTATTGCAATATCTGCAATGTTAGCTAGATACTAATGTATGACTAATATTTAAAAAAAAACCATAATCCTTCCAGCAGTCCTGTATTGTACAGTGTGAATGAAACAGACCCAGAAACATCAGATTGCTTATGGTCTACAGTAACCACAGAACCAGGGTTATTAATATGGGAAGTCTGAAAAAATGACTTTGTCACTTATCGCACACCCACAAAAATTAACTCAAAATGCATCATATACCTAATGTGAAACCTAAAACTATGAAGCTTCTAACAGAAATTAAACAGAATTTCTTTGCAACCTTTGGGTAGGTAAGAGTTTCATCAAAACTGAAATGCAAGGGACATGAAAGACATGATAAGTTGGACTTCCTCAAAAATTTTTTTAAGAAGAACTCTTGAAAATGATAAGGCAAGTTACAGAGTAGAAAAAATACTTTTAACATATACATTAATGAACTTTTATTCAGACTATAAAGAGTATTTATAAGCTAATAATAATAAAACGATCTGGTAAGAAAAGTGTGCAAGGTATGTGAACACTTCCTCAGGGAAAATGTGTGAATGGCGAATAAACATAGAAAAAGATACCCAGTATCATTCATTGTCAGGAAAATGGAAATTAAAACTATGATGAGTTATCATTAGACTGGTTAAAATACAGTAAAGCTGACTATAGCAAATGTTTGGCAAGATGTAGAGAACAAGAACCCTCTTATACAGTGGAATGTAAAATGGAACAATCACTTTGGAAGCTCTTTGGTTGTTTCTTACAAAATTGAACACACACTTGCCACATGATTCAACCATTTCATGTCTACACAGAGACTTCACATGACTGTCTGTAGCAGCTTTGTTTATAATATTGTCCCCAAATGTATGCAGCTTGAATGTTCATTACTAGGTGAATAAATAATACATTGTATTAAATCCACACAATGGAAAATTATTTAATGCAATAAGGGAATACACTGTGGATGCATGTATTATTATCATTGAATCTGAAAATCATTAAAAGGGATGAAAGAATTAAGGCAAATATTAGTACATATAGTGTAGCTCCATATATTGAAATGTAACAATGCAGAACAGCAGGAAATTAGTGAATGAGGTCGGGATGGAAGGAGGAATGGATTAAAAAGAATCACAAGAAAATTTTTGACAGTAATGGCGATGTTATCTTGGCTGTAGTGATGGTTTAATGGGAGTATATGTATGTGAGAAGTATTGGAGAACTAATTGTGCATTCTGAACATGTGAGGCTTAATGAAGTTCAATTATGTCTTAAAAAAAGTTGAAGAAATACACATCTTGCAAACTGCAGTATAATGCCACTTCTCTTTTGGGTGTTCTAGCCTGTAACACGTACCAGTGGTACACAAAAGGATTACTTAACTCAGATGTAACACTGTGTGTTCAGACAGCAGGATTAGCCAGCCCTCAGATCAGGTCAAGCGATAGAAGCCTCTGCACCCTGCAGGACACAGGATTGAATGAATGGTGGGCACAAAGCACTCTTGTGGACTGGCTGCTGAGCTTGCTAGAAACTTGGACAATGTTTATAGCCAACACAGTTATGCTGAATACCATTCATTTGACTGATGAAGATTATGTTTCTCATCTCCCTTAATCTATGTGACATACTCTGTTGTGTACATATAGGCAGGGATATGTAAAACACTTTGCTATATATTCCAGAGTCACCTCCTCTGGCATATGGACTTCTGATTAAAAGTATTTTTAAGTGTTAACTCACTTCTTTGAGAGGTTTATTAAAACTAATTTGTGTAAACACAAACACATATACCACATACATAAGCATACATGCATACATATACATGTTCACAAATAATTTCATATATTTGATGCTGAAGTTAACAGTTAGATATTTAAACCAACACAAAGGATAGATTTGTGCTTGAATTTCTGAGAGCTACCTATGTAGTTAGAACACTCAAATGCTGATTTTTGTTCTTAGTAGAAACCAGTGGTTCTTAACATTTTCTGCACTCCAGAATCATTTCTTGACATTAAAGAAAATACTGTCTTTGTCCCATTTTTAGAGATTCTGATGAAAATGGCATGGCGTTCTGCTTAAGCACTGTGATTTTTAGAAGCTCTTCAGGTTATTCTAATGCTCTGCACTCAAAGTGTGATCCTCAGGCCAGAGACAACATCATCATGTGGGGATATTTTAAGAAATGCAATTCTCGGGCTCTCTTAAATTAGGTCAGAATATGCAGCCAAGCCGACTGTGCTCTTTCAAGGCCCCCAGGTGCTTTCCGTGCACCCTCA